CTGCTGCTGTTCACTCTATTGTGGTATGCACTCCCCACTCACCTTTGACATCTGATTGTTAGGTTGGCTTCTGATTAATAGTTTTAATTGAGAACCTTTATAAAACTTGTGTCAAAGTTGAATAGTCAGTAGTGAGAAGCGAGTGAAAGAAAGGAATACCTTTACATTTTGATGCATAAAGTTTTTTCAGACCTCTACTTTTATATTTTTACAAATACATGCCAATCCTTCTAGTAGTAGAAGATTTCATTGCAAAATGAAAATATATAATTCTGACCTTTTAAAATATAATATCTATATGCCAATGTTGATTCCTTCTATTAAATGTTGGAAATAATTCTGCTGTGATAACTCCTCAGCCAGGCCTCATTGGACGTACCTGCACTGGTAAATGTTTCTTTCCCAGCTTTAACTCATTTCAGCATTTCTTGTGTTTATATAATTTATACAATGTTATAAGGCTGTTTCAATTTCTTGTTTTCTTTTGTATGATTACCAATTCACATGTTGATTGATCCGTTCAGCTTGTTGATTTGTTCCACAAGTGAATATATTTTAGTTAGTTATGTTTTTTGGAAATGGTCTCAGAGATTTGAAAGACTAGTGCTTAACATCTATCCTTTCTTTTCCTTCCCTTTAGGTGCAGACCCCTTCTGGTCTGGCTCGCACTCATAGATTTGCAACTGAAACAGTTGATCTGCCAGCACAAGAAGGGGAAAGGGTAACTGTTGCTGTGGCAGCTCCATCAAATGTATATAGAAAGGCTGGCCCTTTTAAATTCAGTCCAAGGGCCCCTGATTTCTATCCAGGTGAGGCTATGTGCATAACAAACCACAAAGATGGGCGGGAATCACTGCTGTTAAGAGCCCCAAGAAAAGAAGAAAATTCATCATTACTCAAACCCTCCCTCATCTTTCCACTTCTAGCTTTTTTGGCCACCGGTGATGCTGCCTCTGGACTTATTGACCCCAGTCTTCCCCAATTGGTATCAGTTGTTGCAGTTTCAACTCTTGTTGTTGGATCTACATTGAACACTGTTGTTCTTCCTCAATTTAACCAGGTACTAATACTATAGTTAATTTATCAGTTTTTTTCCTATTGAGGGAGGCTCATTTATCTTCCGTTCACCCCATCAATTTTAATTCTCAAAAGAACCAATTTTCTGTTACCATATAATTTTGTTTTTCCTATCAAAAACTAATTCGGAAGAAATAGTTGTTTCTTCAGTCGCCACTATCAGTGATTTGAATTTCCTTTTCATGGGCCCCATAAAAATAACTCCTATTCACAACCAAGAAGGGTTTGTACATTGTTTTATTATTGCACATCCTTGACATTTAATGCAAGAAATAGGAAAAAATAAGATTCTTATAATTCCTTTCCTATTATGACCTGCTGGCCCCCTTATTCACTGCTCACATATGAAAGATATAATAAGTTCATCTTCATTTATTTATGGTTACAGCTTCCACAGAAGTCAGTAGAAGCAATTGCGATCAAACAACAACTTTTATCTCAATATGATGTTCTTCAGTCTCGCATCAACGACCTAAAAGAAGCTGCTGAAAAAGAGGTGTGCTACTTGCATGATTTATGATTAGCAAGATGATATTGACCTTTATTTACTTATTTTTGAAGGGCAAAAGGGTTATGCCTCCTTTATAATATTTTTACAGTTTATCTACCCTAATTTTCCACCCACTTATAATCACAGTAATACTAAACCAAGTTCATCATTGAAGGGGAGGGAAAGCTGTAGTGTGCTTGGCCTCAGACATGAACTGTCATACTAACAAAGTACACCTTGGGTTGAGTTCCATTTAATAAATGTTGCACTGTTTAAGACAAAAATTGAAAAGATTTTAATAATCCAGTCCCTTAACTAACGTTCAAAATACCCTTCATTTAATTGAGATTCTATTTCCAATGACTTTATTTTTTATATCAAATTTCGATGAAGGATAATTTAGGAAAAAATATTTTTCAAAATAAGATTAGTAAAACTAAATTATGTTAACTAACTTTCTTCATTAGAGGATAAATTAGTTAATTTTGCTTATATCTGAGTCAGGGGGAATACTTTGTAGAAAAGTCCACCTAATTCAAATGAATGCAATAATTCCATAATTGAATTGAGGATTTAAATTATATAGGCTAAGTTGTACTTTTGGTCCTCTTATAATATTCAATCCACAGTATTAGTCTCTCAATTTTTAATTCCATGATTTTGTAAAAATCTGCTATTTTGGTTTAATTGTTAAATATTCATTATTTGATCGTTAAAATTGCAACATTGACCATGACTTGAGGATAAGTAAATAATGTGACGATTAATATTTAATAATATTTAAGTTAAATTACACTTTCAATCCTCATTTTTATCCTGTAGAAGTGGTAAAAAGAGATGAAAATATGGTAAAATTGAGACCAAAAGTGCTATTTTATAATGTCATGTACTTAATGTTATATCTTGATCAATGTTATAATATTAATGATTAATGATTTAATGAATGAAAAAACATATCTGTTGGACTAAAATTACAGGTTTTACAAAATTGGGAGACTATTTTGTTTTTATAAAAAAATTAGAAAAATTGGGAGATTATAATCATGGAATTAAAAATTGGAGGACCAAAATCACATATTAAATATTATAGGGGATTAAAAATGCAATTTAGTCAATTATATTCTAATAACCTAGTTATTAGTTTTGTATATTCTGGAAATTATATGCACAAATTTCATTGGTTATATTTCTCATATTCCCAGGATGAGATTTTCGGAGTGAGATTGTATGAAAGTCATTTTTAAAGATGATAGTTTATTTCCTCTTCTCAGGAAATATAGCTTGAGATATATAAATCTGATTTATACTTTTGTAGATTTGGATGTTAGCTCGAATGTGCCAACTTGAGAACAAAATTTCAGCTGTTGGAGAACCTGCTTATCGGTGAATTGCTATAACATAATACATCTCTGTTTCTAAAAATAATAATTTTCCCATCATGATCGTTTATTTTAACGTCCTTAAGTGTTTTTACTTTTCTTTTTTTGGGTCTTTACTCCTCTTTGTTCTAAGATACCATTTATCATTTTATTTATTTCCAGGACTCGGAGAAGTAAAGTCAAAAGGGTGAGAGAGAGCTTGCAAAACTCCCTCAGGGGACGGATTGAATTGATTGACAGCTATGCTAGGGTATGCTTTCTCCGATATTGCTTTTGCATACTTAATTCAGTAAATGTATGTCATAGGCTCATAGCGCTCTTTGGTCAGATTTCCTCAATGATTGAAATCGAAGTGGAGATGGAGACTGAAGTTCTTGCTGCTGAAACTGCTAGTAATGTGGTAAACTACTTAATCATCTATTCATTTTGGGTCATGATATCTTGCTATAACAAGCTTTTACTTAGCTCAGGGTTCATGTTTTGCAGGATAGTATCAAAGAACAGATAGAGCAAATCATGGAGCTTGAAAATTTGGAGGAGGTATTTTTTTTTTTTTTAAATTCAAACCTATTACTTGGCCTTGTAGTTATGAATATGGCTTGTACTTTCTTTTGCAAAAGCTCAAAAATATTCCTCCCCGAATTATAATAAACTTAGACTAGGAAGTAGAAAGCCTTACATTGAAACTATTTCTATCGTAGTTTTGTTTTTTGACAATTGAATAGATAAATATCATTCTTCCTACTCACTACCAAGTATGGGATTAAACGCCCCAGATGTGTTGACCTTTATGATAAATGAAAACAATCATATTCTGTAGTGTCAATGTAATCATAATTAAAACAGGTTGGTTCTTATCAGGACGTTTAATGTGGTAAATGGTAATCACAATTTAGTCCTTTTTAGCGTTGGGGACTTTGTTTTGTTTTTAACAGAAAGTGTTTTCATTTTACCCTGATGCAGAGATGGAAAATACAAGCAGAAGCCAATGATGAAGCTGAAAGACTTCTTAGTTCTCAGCCCATGCCTTTGGACGAAGTTTAAAGATGTATGGATGCATCTGGTTCGCACTACTGTATCAATAGTCAAGCTTCACCTCCCAGCTCAATGGTATTTTCTACTGACCAAAAACAGCAACATCCAATCACCTGTCTTTTAGCAGGCAAGTTTTGAAATTTTGGTATCTTAGAACAATCACCATTATGTTACCCATAAGGTTTACAAAGTATATGATTATAAATATGATACTATGTGGCATCTAATGCAAATATTTGTTGCCACTGAACCGTGAACCGTCCTCGCAGATCTCAAAGTCAATGGTAGATACCAGCAATGTGGTGTAAATTCGTTGTTAACTTCTTGGTAATATTTTATTAAGGCTTATGAAATATTATTTGTCATTATTGTTCACTTTTTCATAATCGATCCCAAGTCTAAATTGGAAGACCAATACTTCCGAACGGCTGTTGTCCATACTCTTTGGATGTTTTAGGTTTGTTTCTTAAAATATTTTTTGAATTTTTATATAAATTTCAGTGGAATATTATAATGATTAAATATGATGGCATTATATTGATATTTTTATACTACGTCAAGTTGTTTTGTGTTAATCTATTAAATTATATAAAGGGAATATCTATTTCAATAAATGTTTTGGTCTTTATTTTTATATGAACTATTTTATCTCCTTTTGTTTTACTCATAATTCTAAATCACTTTTTTTTTTCAGTGATTTTTTTATTTTATTGATGTTTTTCTCTTTATTTTATTCATAAATCTAAATAGTATTTGTTATTATTGTTCTTTCAATGTCTTTTTCTCTAGTATTAATAAAAAGGGCAAACCAATGTAGCCACAAGGTTAATATTTGTTGTAATGTGATAACACAAGGTTGTGGTCAAAAAATTTTCCTATAATTAATATCTGTGCCAATGGTCAACTCTGAACATGTATATTTTTTCCTTGGTGATGTGCGTGAATAAGCCTTATATCATCTAACAAAAACTGTTGCATCTCCTAGCGTACATGGGATAATGGAAGCTTCGCAAGCAGAATCAATCGGGGAATGGTGAGCCATAATGCGCCATCTAACAACAAAACCTGAGCAAAGAATCGTACCTTAAAATAGAAAATGGAGCCTTCGAAGGTTTAACAAAGAGAATCAAGCCTTCAAAATTGAACGAGAGATGATGTCTTCAAACCGAGAAGAGAATTGTTCCTTCAAAGGAAAATAAATAAATAAAAATGAGCCCTAATGTGCGTCTCACACAAAGCATTAGTCGCACGCCTCAACGGCTAAAATTTATTGTCATTTTAGGTATGAAAAAATTATCTCTCCAATGGACTCACAATTGGTCTCACTGTTGCAAGCTTGCACAGTCTGCAGACTCCACAAGTTTAACCAAAGCTTACAAGAAAATAATTTTGTCTAATTGTTTGGCTCTATTCACTTGAGCAGACTCGTAATCTCGTATGATTTTATGAGTTAAATCGAGAGAGTTCGACAATCATGGATATAATCTTTGTTGAGAAGTGTATAGAGGAAATAAATTGGAAACTAGAGATGTCATATTTATTTTTGAAAGTACAAGAAGACTCACATTTAAGTAGAAGTAGAGCACATGTTATGCAAGTTAGATGCATTTTTCTCACCTTAAAGGTAAAAATTGAAGACCTTACTTTACTATTAGTTTGCTTGAATCTTGTCGTGAGAACATACATGTTAAGATATTAAATGTGTTTATATTTTATTTAACATTTAGTTATTTACTTTATAAGATAAGAAGATATTTTTCAACAAAAAAAAAAGGATTGAAAAAATATTTTTAAAATGTGTTAATAATGTCTCTCCATTGTGATTTTTAATGTAATCTCACTGTAATTTTTTTAATAAAGATTATTTATTGATTACTTAATGAATGGCTTTAAGACACTTATTAGTAGGATCTTATAAAATAATCGAAGGATTAATGGGAGGATATTAGAAGGCATAACATGGTTAATTGCTGTAAAAAAGCATGATTAATTCCTTAAATATGAAATTATCATTCCATTAAAGATGTATGGAGTAAAAGTTTTCTCTTATTTTTCACTTACTACCAACGGCACAAAAATAAATCAGATTACTCCTCTAAAAATTAACATTCTATTAGTTTCCAACCAAATATAGCCCAAAAGAAAATCAAATGATTATTATTAGTATGTTACTTAAGCATATTATTAAAAGTTTGATTGCTGCGCATGTTTAATGAGAAAAATTTACTTAGGAGAGACAAAATTTTCTTCAATAATTTTTATCTTTTGAAAGGAACTAATCTTTGACCATTAACCGAAAAATATCTTTAATGAAAAAAACGTATGTTACTTCTAAAAATGGTGTAATGATATCTATGCATGTTTATATATTTTAAACACTTTAGCAACAATTATATTTTTTTTCTTCTTATTGTATTATATGACTTGTTTTCTAAATATTAATAGAATTTGGTGTCCACCTAAGTTTTCCTATAAAGTCAGAAACGATGCCCTGAGTCCTCTGCTTTTGGTGGGTTTGGTCATCAAAATTAGGCATAGAAATTAGAAAGAGCCGAGAGCAGTAAACCTGGCATCTCCTAACAAGTAACAAAACAAAGAACAGGGCCAGTTCAAATACAATTCATTTATGCAATTATTCACAATCAACTGTTCCCTCACAGATATTTCCCTTATAATAAATTATCTAACAAACATATTCTGAATTTTATAACGTCGGTGGGTTGTCCATTTTCCAAGCTCTGATTCCCTTTTTTCTCTTCAAACATGAATTACCCATTCCCTTTTGTCCCAAAACTAATTGTTTAATAAACTAGTAAAGGTTGGGGTAAAAAAAAAACTAGTAAAACTCAATTTTCTCGTAATTTATTATAGCATTTTAATTTTTTTACTGCCGTTTCTTCTTCTTCTACTTTTTTTTTTTTATAAAAATCAAGTACATGCATGAATGTTAATGGAATTGATTTACTCACTTATTATTTTTTTCTTTTAAAACTAAGATAATTACAGATATTTTCTATTTGAGTAAACAAAAAATTACATGAAAATAGAATTAACTTCTAATTTCTTCGATATTTCGATTGTACTAAACAAAGAGTATAAAAACTAGTATGACTATGTTATAAATATTTTCAATTTAAATAAAATTGTTTTGAGTGAAAAATACTTGTATGATTTAGACAAAAGAATCATTTAATTATTTACATTATTGAATTAATCATACTAAATGTCATGTTAATTATGTTATTCTCCATCATTAATCTAAGGGTAAGATAGGATTCCCCAAATTGAAATATTATGAATTTACCATGATTACCACCATTGGTCAAATTTCAATGTAATGATTGTTGAGATGATTCCATGTCTTATGAGTGTTGTTTATTTTCATTTTTATTCCTTTTTCTGGCTGTCCTTGTCGGTGCTTTTGTTTTGCTCCCAAAGACTTGATAGATTAACGGGTACTTCAGATTCTGATTCCATGTTCTCTATTTTAGTTTAGATACCAAGGCACAAGTTCAAGGAGCAGAGATGGTTGGTCCTACAAGCCTACAACGATAAAGCTAAAAATTTAAAGTTTCAACCTTACCTAAAAGAGAACTCAAAGAGTCAAAGGAGACAGTTGGCGTACGATGATTGCAGTGTGTGTGGCTCCTCCAAGGATACAGAACAAGGTCCTTACTTTTTTCCAATCAGGAAATCATAAAAATTCAAATGATAAACATAATAAATTATACAACACATTCAATTTGGATTTTTTTCCTTTTCAAATAATACTGCGTAAAATAATTTAAAAAAAAAAACTAAATGAAATCAAATGAGCTAGTATTAAAAAAAGTATAGTTTTATAAAAATGATTATATAATGTTATTTTTTATTATCTAGCATACTAATCAACTTCTATATTAACATTTTTTTTATAGATTTGATATGAATATTATACATTAGTACTTATTTTTTGAATTGAATGGGTTAAAAACTTCAATAAAGATCAATTAAAAATTATGAGAGAAAAAAATAGAGGTCATATCAACCTATACACATACAATAAATAAAGCTAAAACAACATAAAAAATTTACAAATCTTTATTGAGAAATATTTCAAAATAAGCTAAATTGTATATAACTTGTTTGGTTTCACACAAAAGCATGAAACCACTATAAACAACCATTAACAATCATAAACGATTTAATACTTTGAACTAGTTGAGCGCAAGGATGATCAAAATTACAATCACCCTAAAAAAAGCCTAACAACAGTCAACAAATCTATCTCGATCGACAATAACATTTCTAAAACTTTTATTCCAAACAATATTAATTCTAATATAGATCGTTCACAACTCAGCATGTAAAATAAGACAAAAGTTAATATTGACAGCAAAAGCAAAAGAAATCACTCTCTTATGATTGCGAAAAACTCTTCCAACAGCTAACTTCAAGTCATCTAAACTCATAGAAGTGTCACAGTTCAATTTCTGGATGAATATAATGTGTACAAGTACATTATTATTTTAAGCCTACACAATTACCTTTGTGTGTTGGATGTGCATTTATTTAACAATATATTTAATGATTGTTTTTAAATTTATATGAATGAGAGGTTTATTATAGTCCCTCACCTTAAAAATCACCAAAACAATATTTATTTTTAATATATATATTTATTTTACATTAATCTCCTTTTTTTATAACGATTTCGCTATAAGTTTAAATTTCAACTAATATTTTATTATATATATTTATAATTAATAATTAATTATGTATATAAATCAATATTATGTTATAATATATAAATTATATTTAAAATTAGTATATAAAAATATTTTCAAACATATAAGTTATATTTTAAATTTGTGATAAATAGTTTGTATCATAACAAAGTTTTATCTTTATTTTTTGATAATTTATTTTAAATATTATTATTTTAATTAATAAATATTTATGATAAATAAAAATTAAATTAGATAAAAAGTTAAAAAAATTCTTACAAACTCGTTGAATTTTTTTTCTTCTAAAAACTAATTTTGCGAAAGATAAATTTTTTTGTTTAATATATATGAGTTCATATTAATAATTTAAAAAAAATAAAATTCAATTTAAAAATAAATATAAAAGGATAGATTGAAAAGATAAGAAGATATTTTTAAAAAAAATATTATTGTTAAAGAAAAACTATAAATAAAAAATACTTTCGACAAAGGAAATATGACTTCTAATTTATATAAAGACGACTTCTAAATTGAATATGATCTTTTTTAAATAAATTGTCAATAATTAAAAAAAAATGAGTTTTATTATAAATATAATTTATTTGTTTAAAAATATTTATTAATTAATTTTTTCGTTAAAATACTATTTATATATTAAAAATATTTATTATAAATTTTATTTATATAAAGATAAATATTAATTATATAAAGTGTATATATATATATATATTAATTATAATTTCTTTTCTTGTATTACTTATAAAAGTGATAAAATGGGACGGAAGAAGCTAAAAATACAAGTAATTGTACTCGAATTAGATAAAGAATCTCTTCAAAATTAAAGAAAGATGTGTGTATCAAGAAGAATAGAGAAAAGATTCAAATTTGTTTACACAAATTTTTATCATTATTAAAACTAATACGACGTATTATATAAAGAAAAATTCTATGATGAAGCAATGATATAAGTGGTTTGCGGATAAATAGAAAAATGAAGTATAGAGTTAGGTGAGTCACATGCTTTGAATGATTTTGAAGCATTAGATATATTACTTAAATTTGAATGGTTGAGATTTTATTAATTCAATTAGCTAAATCACCCTTTTTATAAAATTGTCTCTTAATCATTGTAGATGTAACTGGACTGGTTTAGGGTTCCTTTTCTCGAGTGTGGTGATGAAAACTGATGAAGTGATTCTGCAGGTGACGAAGTGAGAGTATTGGTTAGTTTGGCATGATGAATCATTGGTTGTGTAGGTGGTGCCTATATATGGATGTAATGTGTCGTGTAAAATTGAGTGTGTATTTGGTTCAAATTTTTAATGTGATAAATCACGTTAGAATGAAAATTATTAGTTATAAATTTTACGTTTTAAATATAATTTTTATTCTAAATTACATTTTGAACGTATAACCAAACATACACCAAATGGATCCTCCGATCTGGGTTTTGTTGGTGCTAAATTCATGTGAAGGAGTCAAGTTGGTTTGAATAATCTCTTTGTCGGATTCAATCAGAACACACAACAGCACAACACACTCCACAATGTCTTGACGATCACTGAAACATTTAACTCGCAATTGTCTTGCTTCGTCATGGGAAATTCTAAGTCCCTCGTTGGCACACCTCATGCTGATAAGTGATAACCTTTCGCTGAAAAAATAGTAACCTTAATAAATTTAATTCTTTTTTATTATTTACTATTATCATAAGATATTTAAGTAATTGTAAGTTCCGAAAATTGAATACAATAAAATTTAAAATTATGAAATATTTATTAAAAAATATTATAAAATAAATTATTGAATGTATGGAAATGAGATAATGAAAGTAAAAGATCAT